TCCCCCCCCCCCCCCCATAAAGCACGCCGAGGGTCGCCAAATTTTTCGAACCGGTCGAACACGGACCGGAAACGATTCGGTTGTTCCGCGGAGCATCCTGTTCGCGTTTCCGTCGAACATTTCGACAGCGGATCGCGAGCGCGCGCGGACGCGATTTTGCGGCGAGATTGCCTTCCCCGGTGCCGCAGATCGCTAAATATACATGCAACTCGCGAAAGGCTCGCGAGTAGGCGAACGAATGGTGTGGTGCACACGCCACAGATGGCAGCAGCTAACAAGGAAACCTGGACCAAGTTCGATAATCCAACTCGAACAAATTCGGAGTTTAATGGGGTAGATAGGGCGCGATGGTCTCTCTCCTCTCTCCCTTTCCCTATCCGCACCCGCCCCCTCCCCCGCAAAGGATCGAACCGGCGCTCCTCTGGCTTGTCTAGAAGCTCGCCGGATCCGTCGGATTTGCTTGCCGTAAGTTCGGCAGTCGGCTTCCGATGCGCGGCGTTGTTTCGCAGCTTCGGAACCGGGGATGAAAGCACGGAATTACCGCGGCGAAGGCCTTTTCCGATTCGAACACGGGATGCCTGCTATAATTACGGGAGATGTTCCGGATAACTCGCGCGGCTAACAGGCACTCTAATCTCGTGGAATTTTATCCGCGGTGTAACGGCCCCTCGTTTGTCAGCGCGGCTCCCAGCACCGAGCCGAATCCCTTTTTCATCTAAATTCCACCGTAACCAATAAATTTCTAACGCTATCCAGACGGCGGCCGCCGTTTCTTCTTCAAAAATCCACCGAATTATTTCCCCTCGCTCTGCCTAGATGCCGGCCATATACCTGGCGAGTGCTTTAATACCTGCCATTTCGCCGCGGCTGCGAATTGTTTGGATACCGACGGCTCTCGCAACCGGCGGATTCGCTTTCGTTCGGAACGTTCCATGCCCGACAGCTCTCCGAGGCGACTTTGATACCAATTCTAGGCTATTCTGTTCGGTTAGCAAACTTTCGGCTGTTTCGAACCGTGCAGAGCCGATTACGATTCGCTGCGGTGCGCCGGGAATTCGAAACAAGACGGATCTGGGCTCGAGCAGCCTCCCTGGAATGCAGCAACGCGTGCTCCAAGAGTTCATTCATGGTCTGCGAGTCGTCATCATCGTGCAGATAAATGCATACATGGTTTGCGTAATTTCTTGGGTTACGCGTTACGCAGTAGGTGCCAAGGCGATCGTTTCGTCCATTTCGAAATGGATGAATCAGCGAGGATCAACTCTTGCGTGCGCTGATTCTTCAGAGTTTCAGAGCATTCGATAGAGAAAAGTGTAACAGTTTTGTCCAGTAAATTGTTGAAAATTCGGGAAGAAAGATCGATGGATCGATGAACTAGATTATGTACAGAGTGAATTCGTTGTTCAAAATTCCAGGGGCTGACATATATTTGTAAAGCATTTAATAAAGAAACTAAAGCAATTTAGTGTCGAGTGAATCAATCCTAAACAGCTCTAACAATAGTTTCCAGTGTAAACCCTTTATTATTACAACTGTTAAATCTCACATAACAACTATTATCGTTATTATTGACGTGCAAGCAGTGAATAAAAAATCTACATCAATAAATCGGATAAAAGCAGGCGTATTAAATCCGCTCCTTTTTCCAATTTGTCTTGCAATTGTGTCATCGCCACAGCTGAATGAACCGACAATAATAGTTTAGAATGCTCGGAAACATTAAAGTATTCTATCAATCAAAAACTAGCTTCCAAACTCCATCCAAAAGCACCATTACCAGCATTCCAACTCGCAACGATCTGAAATCCCATCAAATCTAACGGGCCAAAGCGCAGCTGCATAAAAGAACGATCAGAATCAATCGCTAGACAGTTTCGAATCCCAAACAACCTTAAAGCACACCACCTGTGGCAAGCCATTCGAATCCCTTCTTCAAAGAGTCGACATCCGAGGGCATCCACGGAACCGAGAACAAATTCCAATCAGTTTTCGTGACGGTCCCGCAGATGCGTCAACGAGCCCACCAATTGCCAGCTAATCGACAAACTCTTTCTGTTCACAGATGAAAAGACCGAGGATCAAAGCCGCGGCGGCCATTGGCATGGTGCGGACATCGCGTGTCGCATCGGTCAGAGGACAGCCGGACGAGCAGGCGGAAGCGAGCGTGTGCCGAGAGAGGGTCGGTGACGAACGAGCCGGCGGAAGCGGAAGAAGGGTGGTTCGCGGGGATGTTTTTCGTGAGACTCGGCCCAATAAAATCGCGGACGATCCGGGACACCGAGGTGTTTCTCTATGGACGCCGGCTGGTGGCGCCAGGCTACGTTACGCTCTGCCCAGGGGTGGCATAAAGCTCGGTCTATACTGCGGCCGCGGCTTGGTGGGGAGATATCGAGGCGATATCTCGCACACAGGGACGCGGTGAAATCAAATCGACGCCGGAGCGAGCGAGACGGGATAGAATGGAAGCGAAAAACGGAGGAGGCGAGCGGCGGCGGGACGGAGAGGCGCGAGGGAGGGCGAGAGAAAGGGAGAAAGAGAGAGGACAGCGGTGCGTAGAGGAGGACGAACAATGGAGAGGGGTTGGTTGACCCTGCCGGGTCAAGCGAGGGCCAAGCGGCGCGGGGGACGGGCGGATAGGTGTTATTCGATTCCGTTCGGGAAGACAAAGCGAGTCCGCCGAGAGGGAGGAGGACGCGATAAGCGAGCGAGACTGGTCGGGTGTGGGAGGAAGATGCACGGAGAGAGGGGTTGGTCGACCCTGAGCAGGAGGGAAGAGGGGGAACAGCGAAGAGAGAATAGAGGGAGAGAGAAAGAGAGAGAGAGAGAGAGAGAGAGAGACGGAGAAGGAGATTGGTTGTCCCTGATAGGCAGGAAGAGGAGAAAAAGCGCAAAGAAAGACAAAGAGAAATTCGAGAGGGGAAGAGACGCCGGGAGCGAGAGAAGAGAGTGAGCGAGAAAGAGAGCGAGTGAGAGGGACGAGGAGAGGGGTTGGTCGACCCTGCGCGTTATCAGGAGCCGCCCCTCCCGGTCCCTACATCCACTATATTCACTACATCCACTACATCCACTACATCCACCCCGACTTTATATACCCCTCGTGCACCCGGCGAGTAGTAGGTGCACGCGTCGGTGGTAGAAGACCCATGCACATAGACGCAGGCGTACACAGAGGCAGAAGCGGAGGCAGCGTCCCTAGGCGCAGCCGGGCGCAGAGCGACGCCGCATGGCGTCGGCGTCGCGAGGTCGTCCGGTCCGAAGCCTCGGTTTTCTCTGTCGCGGCGTTCTCTTCGTGAGCGACACACCACCGGAAGGATCCCTCTTCTTCTTGTTCTTGTTTGGCGGTGTCCGCGAGTAACCGCCGGAGGAAGAGCTCTCTCTTCGCCACCGAGGAGAGGACGCCCGGAGGAGAGAGGGAGGAGTGAGCGGGAGGAGAGGAGCGGGGAGGTGGGAAAAAGGGGAGCAAGCTCAGGAGCCAGCCGAGCCGAGCCGAGCCGAGCAAGGGAGAGAACTTTCGTTATCGCGCTTGACGCGAGTGACGCGCTCCCCTCGGAGCGTCGCGACGCCGCCAGACGCCCGACAGTCGTCCGTCAGACGCGCCACGGTTGTCTCCAAACTGACCGGTTTCTCCGACGACGAGCTTTCCGCCGGCACTCCGCGCTCGTCCTCCGAAGGATCCGCGTATACCACGGTCTTCCGCCTGTTCCTCCTATCATCGCCATTGACTCCGACTCGCCTCCGCTCGCTGCCACTGGCTGACACTCGTTGCCACTCGCTGCCACCTCGCCTCGACTCGCTCCGGCCCGCGTCGGCCCGCTTTTCCCTGGCTAGACCCCTAGCGGAACCGAGCGGACACCTCTCTGTTTCTGCATTCTTCTCGACACTCTGCGTGTGTCCCTCTCTTTCTCTTTCTCTCTCTCTCTCGCTCCGCCTGTGCGCCATCTCTCTTACTCGCTCGCTCTCTCTCTTTCTCTCTCTCTCTCTCTCTCTCTCTCTCTCTCTCTCTCTCTTCCGCATCGGCCACGAGCCGACTGCAGTCGGCTGAGTCTACGCTCTCGAACGTCACTCGCAGCACGTAGACCGAGCCGAGCTGTCATCCTGCCGAGATACCACCATTGTGGCTCCTGATACCAGGATTGTGACACCCTCGCCGCCGTGACAGTCGCAATGACAGTGTGATACTACCAGTGACCCAACCTTGGACCATACACCGCTGGGATTCGCCGGGATTCCTCAGGATGCCGTCGTGCCAGCGGTCAGGCCACTCGTTCCAGGTCAGTATCTCGTTCTCCAGGCTGAGTTTGCCGGGTTTCACTGCTCTGTGTTGCACTGTACAGGACGACATGGATCCTGGGAGGACTATCGACCGACAGGACACGTGAAACTGCGCTGGGACGTCTCCATCCGGTGCCCAAGCAGTAGGCAACCGGACCGACGCGCCGACACGTCGGGCCTTCAAGTGCTGCGGGATCTTCGACCGGAGCTTTTGTCTTCGTCGCTGCACCTGGTACATTATCGAAAGGCCTTCGAAACGCTCTCTTCTACATTTTCGAACAAATATTTTGTTGTCAAGTGTCCTCGGCATCTTCTGACTCTGCTTCTCGTAGTTCCAGGTCCAGGCGATCTCTTCGGGGTTGACGAACAGGGATCCCGAAGACTGCGACCTTGTTGCTCCTCTTCGATAAACGTATCCGAACTTGCTGACAGCTGCAAGGATTACGCCGGGATGTGCGAAGTTCCGACGTTTTTCCGGATGTCCTTGACGTCCAAGATGATGCTGCGTCTCGACGAGGAATGTGAAACCCCCTGTACGTATACTGAATGTATCCTGAGTGTATTCCTGTCCGGTATACCTTCAGTATACGTAACAGGAGGCTGCACCGATCTACGCTGGCTGCCATCGCCGACGCTCTTCCGGTTCACTTCGATAATCCTAGATTAGATTAAGAGGATCGCCGTTCGTTAGCTACGACCGCGTTTCGCCGACACATTGTTCGACGGCCTTGAGCCAAGTGTTCGGAGACAGTTCAGGAACTTGTTCGACGTTATGAGATTGTTCATTGTAGACGGTTGATGCGTGCTGTATCCGCGGAACGTGTTGATGTCGTGTGGTCGAAGCGATGGAGAATGATAATTAGGGTTTAAGGTAGATTAAGGGTCGAGAACAAATGGTACAAGTGTGCGGAGTTTCGAGATAATGTTAAACACGAGATCGATCGATGTTTTGGAATTGTTGATACTTGTTCGTAGAATCGAAGCGAGTCTATCTAGTCGCTTGTTTAGGATCCTTGGATGAGAGAAGCGAGTAGAAATAGAATTGTGCGGCGATTGATTTGTAACCCGATGTGTGTACTTGGAGATTGTTGCGCCGATTCCATTCGATTGGACTGTGTTTGTTATTAAATAAACGGATTAACATGCAATGCCAAGTTATAGTGATTGTCTTTCGGTAGGTTGCCACACGTTGATTGCGCGATTACAATTTTGTTTTGGGAGTCGACGTGACGCTCGTAAATGGTAGATGCCTTTTTATTAGACGTGATATTTATTTAAACGAAGTAGGCAACGATTATGGGGGTATATCTATAGTTTTTAAGAATTTTCTGCTTCGATCTCGTTTGATTTCTTTGCTATATACCGTTTTGAGTATTGAAATTCAGATCGTCCAGATATTTGAACTAAAAATCGTCGGAGATTTGAAAATTGGAAACAATTAAAATAGATTTCATACATTTGTATAATTGTTTGTAGATTTTATTTCAATTTATTCCACGCTACTGGCAGCAATTAAAGTAGATCTATGATTGGAAGATTAAACGTTAATCTAACTCTCTGCTTGGTCTTCTGATAATTGTTATTGGAAATTAGAACTGGAATTTGAAATTAAATACTAGACGCGTCATTGTAGAAGATATCGATGCTATTACAATCAAGGCTAATCACAGATTATACATTAACGATGTAATATAAAGCAAACTTTAACAATTTCTTGGATTTAGGTTCGCATTTTTCAAATCAGACTCGCTGCAAATAACAAAAATGCGATTGTTTCCGTAAATTGTTTCTATAAACCGAGCGTTTATTATTTTTAACGACATGCGGAGCTTTCCTGATAATTCTTAGTTAATTAAGTGATCGTGTACCTCGATTCATGTAACTAGACGCAGAAATAAACGATAATCGCAACGAGCTCTACACGTTCGTATCACTGTCACTGTCATATTCGATCTACTTACAACGATACAATCAATTAAGATTCAACCCCTCGCGAGTTCTGTAGGATTCTTTAAATACTTTTTCGACTTTTAACGATCGCGGAGGTCAATCCTTTTAATTAAAGAAGCTCGAATTTAACTTTTAAAGCGTGCAATGTATTTTCGTCGAGTCTTCGAACGACACCTGCTATTGTATTCATTGATCCCCCGAGCCTTTAACTTATTTTGCGTTATCGTACCAGGTAGAAACATCTTAGGATTTACAAACCTTCGAACTTACACCACTGGAATTTATAGCAACAAATCATTTGTATCTTAGACAATGCGGTCAAAATACTGTAACAGTTATTAAACTTGATTCTAATTTCATAGAAGAATCAAGGCTGATTGTTAATTCGAGTTCGTCGATTGTTACCAGGATAAAGCAATGCGACCGTACATAAATTACAATCGTGTTACAAATAAATGCACAATCTACAAACAGTCTCATGCGAATCAATAACTCCTTCCGTCAGAAATCAGATAGTCCTACCAATCTCAAAGACATTATCGACTCAAATCACTGTCATTAAAGACCACACTTTCTTCGTGAAAAATACAAAAGATCCTAATTCTAAATTGTCAGAGTTACAGATAAATAACATAATAGCATGACTAGTAGTAGTAAAGAGTAAATTTTCATTCTGAATTATAATTGTCGGTAGAACGATCATCTTCCGGGGGTAGCATCCCTAATCGTCAACCTGTAACCACGATCCCAATCGAAACTAAGCTACCAAGCGAACGAACGTGTCACTTTCGTCAGGATCTAACCTAGAAACCGGCGTCACCTCGACACCCATCGCGGCGGCAGAAGTAGCCGTGATTCGTCTCGACGGCTTGGGCATTTGGCGCGAATGGCCGCGGACGGTGTCAAAGGGAATAGAAGTCGGTCGAGGGCCAATGATCCCGCTGAATCGAAAGATTCGGAGCGCGTCGAGAGGTCCGCGCGAAACGGGTCGGCAGTCGTATGCGAAACACGGAATAAAATCGTTTACGAGCGGCGCGTACCAAGTTTGCCAATAAACCTCGACCGAGACAAACAAGGCCTAAGTCAACCCCCCCACCGCACCCCACCCCGCCGAGCTCGCTCAACTCTTTCCACACGGCGAGTCGATGGAAGCCCGAACTTTCTCTTTTAGGGCAGTCGTAAAAAGGGTTGCCAGAAGGGCTACCGTGGCCGAGTTAAAGGGTTGGTGAAAGCGGGCTCCTTCTCGGCAATAAAAATGCTAAAAAATTCGAAAGCGAGGAAAGGGTTGCTGCCGGGATAATAGCAGGGACGAAAGGATTTCACTTTCGTTTCCGGAAGACGAGCCGGACGGTGCTCTTGTCAGTTTTGGTTCGACTCGCGATCCGGTGAGAACTGCCTTGTCACCATCGATTTTTTTTCTCACCTTCCGCGGGAGGCAGAGGGATCGTTCGGCAGTGTGCAGGAAGTTGACGGGGAAGTTAATCATTTTACGGCGTCCCATAAAGGGATTCCATCGGAGCCTCGTGTACCCGGAGTGTTTACCTGCTGTCAGGTTTTGTAAGTAGTATTGCTGGTAATTATCGTGCCGGAAGTCGAGGATTATAAACCATACCTCTGTTCGGATGTACCGAGCTACGACTTTTTCATCCTTTTGGCGTCAACAAGCTGTAGATGGTCAAGTGCATCCATCCACTCGGGATGGATTTTTACGATTGTTTTCGAAGGGGTTGCGATTTTACTGCGCACCGTTATTGCTTTATTTCGGGGAGGTGTATACCTGAGATTCTATTCTTTCGTGTACTTCTTTATTGAGAGTCGGAAGATTTTTATTTGGGGTCGGCTGTCCAGAGTTAATCACTAGACGCGACGAAAAAATTCCAGAGAAAAAACACGAAGGCATTTTCAATGTTCGCGTTTCTGAATCCTTTCGCTATTAAAAAATTATTCCTTAATCCGACGAATTTTTATATATGAGTCAGTATTTCTGAAAATTCATTCTAAAGATTATTATATGTATATGTGAGCTACTGATTTCACAAACTTATTGCCATGGCTGTAGCCAATGCATTGTCTTCCCGGTCCTTCAAAGGTTAAACGATATTTCCACTTCGAATTTAATTTCCATCACTCATTGGATACGAACCACTTAATTAAGAAGGGTTGACGATTTTTTAACGAAAATCTCTCGTCTCCTCTAACGAAAATTTCTAAAGGCTCAGTTATTTCTAAGGCTCAGTAATTGTTTATAAAATCATTTAACATCACAACTACGTTCCTAAACGATCATAGCATAAAATAACTTCTTTGCCACGATCAACGAAAAATGTGCCCCCTCCCCCCACCAAAAATCTGTTGTCCTCAAATCAGAACGAGCACACGAAGGTCTTATCAAAACGTACGAAATCCTGGCGCAGAGGGGACAATGCGGTGCAAGTTTCAATGTAAATGCGGCACGAATCCCTAAAACGCGAATTTTCGCGGTAGCCGCAGAACATGGCGGCAAACTAGCCCGAGGAATCAGGCAGAGCGCAGTCATTGTGCCCCGAGGAGAGGCGTCTGATAGTTCCCGACGGTGTCGTCTGGCCGCGATAAGGAAGCCGGGTAAACACGGTTACGTCTTGCGTTCGTCATCGCGTATGCAGACCTTGCGTCATGGACGACGATGCACGCTCGGATCATTGAACTCTCTCGATCCGTCTGCACGGTGACACGGCCTCGACTAACGCATTCCCAAAAGCCCGATCTTTTTCTCCCGTGCGAGAAAACGAACCTACACCTTCCGCTTTTCCTCACGAAGGTAGTTTAGCCCGGCGAGGTGGTTGAAGTTCGGAGGGAAAGTTTGAAAAATTCACCCGTCCTCGGGAGAACGTCGATGACGAGAGTCCAAGGGAGGGACGATAAAACCGGGAAGAACCGAGTGAGAGAGAGAGAGAGAGGGGGGGGGCAGTAGAAACGAGTTTGGAAGCTGGCGAATGCTCAGGGGAACGAACCACCGGAACGGCCAGCGGGGGTGGCTCGAGGGACGAGAGCCGGCGAAAAAAAAGAAAACTGCAGAAGGGTTGAAAAAAGTTTTCCCCGGGCGAAGAAGGTAACCGCAGCTCGCGGCAGCCCTGAAATTTCGGGAAGGGAGCTGGAAAAGCGAGTCGGCAAAGTTCAACGAGCCCCCAGAGCGAGCGAGACCGGTCTCCCATCGGAGAGGAACGGAGAGGTCGTCGTGGAATTCCGATCGAGACCGAGGAAGACGTTCCAGAGACCGAGGTAGGAGAGACAAGGAGAGGAGCTACGGTCTTGGGAGAGACTGCGAGAGACGTTCACGGAGGAGTAGGTGCGAGCTAAACCGTGGGGAGATCCCGTTTTCCCGGCCAATGAGTCGCCGGCTCTTTTGGTGGCCCAACCCTCGGGCCAATATGGCCGCCGCGCGCGAAAGGGAGCTTAAGCAAGGGTTAGGCTAGGCCAGACTGATCCTTCTGGACCCGGTCGAGGCACGGGGAGGGATCGCTGGTCCAGAATTGCCGGCTCTCGGGGTGGGGTGGCCCCGTCCTCGTCGGCCATGATGCTATGTGCTGCTGGATACTGGCTGCTGCTGCTGCGGCTGCTGCCTGGACCTCTCTCGAACCCTCGAGCCGCTCTCCGTGCGGCGAATAATGGAAACGTACGGCTCCGCGTTTACATGCGGGCCGCGTGTCGCGGCTAATTGCATCCCCCGGACACGCACCGCGCCGAAACAAGACGCGGCCGCTCGATTACGCTCGAAAACTCACCCCCTCCGGCTGCGATCCGATCGCTCCGCCGACGCCTCTTCGCCGCCGGTTATCGTCTCGCGATCGTTTCTATCATCTCCGCGCCTCGTCTCGCTATCATGTAATCCCGCGATGCTGTCGAGGAACGACCAGGTCGCCTCTTATTTCGACGAGTAGTGTTCGTCGAGGTGGGTGCTATTTTGTTTTTGTTCAGAGCGTATGTAGGTGTTGTGCTCGATGCGTGCTCCAAATCACGAAGGTGTAGCATTTTGCAGCTGTTGAGTATGGAAGGATAGTATGCCGTAGAAGATGGCGTTGTACCTGTTCTTGCGGTTTCGCAATTTGTTTGAGTAATTTTTCAGTCGTAAACAGTCCCGGTATACACGGTCGATCTGCTTTCGACGAGGAAGGGGCGTTAAGGATTTATCACAGGATCGTCGATGTTTAGAGACACTTTACGATACCTAAGTATTGATTTGTCTCTTGGATGGTCCATCTCGCGGCCATTTTCACCCAGGATTGCAAATAACTTTTCTAACGAGCTGCTTCAACGATGATGTCGAAGAGATAGCTAAGAGAATTTTATCACGGTTCGCACGATATCGGAGAATCAATCAGGGATGAATCGAATGGGAAATAATCCATCGGAACACGTTCCATCTTCACTCATAATCTTCACAGTCTTACAAACAATGACACTACACTAGAAAACCAAGACATTACTATTAATTAGTAACTCTTACGGCTAGCACACTTCCTCGAACAAAAGTACAGTATCTATTTCCACACTTCTCTGTCGTAACAAGCATTGATAAATCATTAATTTCGTACTACTTCAACGAGCAACCGAACGCTGAATTCCAGCGTCAAATTTGACTAAATCTAAAAAGTCTCAGGACTCCAGCTTATTCCAACAGAACAATCAATCTGGTCTCGTTCTTTAGTTTATCCTGTGTTGTAGATGAACAAGAAATAGCCGGAGAAAAGTGTCGTAATACGCGGATATTCTAGGAGCGAGCATTCGGAGCCCAAGCGCCGCTAATTAGAGAATCCAACGCGGTAACAATATCGCGACGGAACAGCCGCGGCGGGCGAACGCAGCATAATTCTTCGGAAAGCCGGCTTCCGAGGCTGGAAACTATAAAACGTGGAGGAACTATTTTGATTGCGCGGACCTCGTGGCAGCGGCGTAAATCTAGTTTTCATTCAGACAATTTACAGGCCGACGCGCCGCGAGACCGTGTCACCGCGGCCAGGCCGTCGCGTTTAACACCTAACCGCCGGCGAATTCCTCGTCTACCGCGGAGTATTGATCTCCGGTGTCCTCGGCGAAACACCTCGAGTGCACTTCGGGCACCGATACGGTGCCAGTGTCGGGTTACGCGCGTCGCAATGGGCAAACGTTGCGACAAGAAACGCCCGGTGGATCGCCGTCGATCGCGTTGCGGAACGGCCGAGCATCGTCCCGGGCGAAATTGATTCGGGAATTAACGGTGGCCGCGGGTCCTTGTTAGCATCCACCTGCCTCGTTCGCGAGAGTGCCCGTGCTGGATCGCGCGAGCGTAAATCGGCGTCGAAAAGGTCTCGAAGTTTCAGACGTTCCGACGATGCCCGCGAAGTACGGCCGTAAATTCGGTCGCGCACCGCGAAAGTAGAAGAAGAAATATTTACATTTTGTAAAATAGAACTCGCGATTGCTTCGTTAACGCCGGAAGAGCTCGGTGACGGTCTCT